TTATTTTTTTTTTTTTTTTTTTTGGAAAACACAGGCTCTAATTGGAACTGACTTTTCATGGATGACGGAGTCCAAAATAGAAGTCAAGTAAAGGGAAGAATAAATCGAAATTATTATATCAAGCGAAAGCTAAAGATGAACAACCGCAGACATATCAGCAAAGGACCGAGCAATTCACAAATGAAATGGAAACTTAATTTTTCAGAAAAATGAAAGATCGAAAGAAACTTGGTATATTACGGGTTTTGTTATGGTGCGGCCTCCTCTTCTTCTCCGGCTTCACTTTATCCAATCTACGTCTCTACTTCCAAGGTATCAACATCAGACAATTTCAGAGTTTTATTGCTTTACCTTCGAAAGTGGAATTAGTTCTGTAATTTCAGTATTCTTAGATATTCCTCCAATTTTTATTTATTTATTATTATTATTTTTTTTAAAAATATTTGTGAATGAGTCTATAGGAACTAGAAGATTCTTAAAGAACCCTTTAGAACTCTTACTACTTTCCAAAGAAAATTCCTCTTTTCTTCTAATTTTTACAAATTATGAAGCTTTGTTTATTTTTCGTTCTTAATTATATATGTGGGTATGGTTTTGTAACTTTAGTTTGGAATTTTCGAATGAAATATGATTATTTAGGCCATATATCTTCAAAATTTAATGATAAATTTGATTGATTGAATTGCAAGCAGAAGGTTCTGAACGAAGATTGCGTCTGTCAACATGGCATCCACTGGCGATGGAAGCTATCTCCGATCCTTCTTCTACTTCAATTCCACCTATCTCAATTCAACAATCAATTATATTTCCCGACCAAGTCTTGCTTTTCCTAAAATACCCTCCCTCCACTCCTTTATTTACCAAAAATGACATCGACTGTGTATACTTGGTCCACAATTCATCTGAGCCCCGCCTTAAGCTCCCTCCACTATGGATCGACGATCAATATTTCGATCATCAGATCGTAAGATGTCCACTGCAGACACGTGGCACGATTGTTTCTATTGCTGTTCAGTCTACTGCTACCCTCGTCCCTGTAACGGCATATAAGTGGGACAAGTTGGCCTATGAAGCTATATTAGATCGTGACAATACCACCGTTGTTTTCGTGAAGGGGCTTAATCTACGGTCAGGAAGAGTCACTGATCCGTCAAAATTTAAATGCATCTACGGTTGGGATTTAAGGAAGCCTAAGTTTGTGCTACGGTCCAACGTGGTATCGGCTGCTCAAGAAATTGTCAGGTGCAAAACCCCTCTGAGCATTTTGAATAGCCAACAAGGATTTGGTATTAACGCTAATGATTCGATTAAGGTTTCAGTTCGAGTTGTTGGTAGACAGACAATTAAGTCTGTTGCAGGGCTTAAACTTCGATTGGAGCCAGCAACATTGTCTAAACGACGACACAAAATCTGCATATGTACAATGTTGAGGAATCAAGCAAGGTTTTTACACGAATGGGTCGTGTACCATGCACATATAGGAGTCGAACGATGGTTCATCTATGATAACAATAGTGACGATGATATCAAAGATGTAATTGAGAAACTATTGAGTAAAGATTATAACATTACACGGTATATGTGGCCGTGGATCAAGACTCAAGAGGCTGGATTTTCGCATTGTGCTCTACGGGCTAGGGATTTGTGTGAGTGGGTTGGATTTATAGACGTTGATGAGTTCTTTCACTTTCCCTCAGGATTGTCATTGCACGATCTTATCGAGAAGAAGTCTAGAGGTAGCAAAGTAGGCGAATTAAGGGTACCATGCCACAATTTCGGCCCTTCCGGCCTCAAAAATGTTCCGGTGAAAGGTGTGACGGTTGGATACACGTGTCGGTTGAGTGGCTCAGAGAGGCACAAGAGTATAGTGAGGCCTGAGAATCTGAATTCAACACTGATCAATTTGGTGCACCATTTTCATTTGAAGGCTGGTTTTCATTCTGTCAATGTAAATGGAAATATGCTGGTGATAAATCACTACAAGTATCAAGTGTGGGAAGTGTTCAAGGAGAAGTTCTATAGGAGGGTTGCAGCCTATGTCTCGGATTGGAAAAACGAGCGAAATGTCGGTTCCAAGGATCGAGCCCCAGGTTTAGGAACGGAAGCTATTGAACCACCAGATTGGTCGACTAGATTTTGCGAGGTTAGAGACACTGGCCTAAGGGATCGGGTTTTGTCGAAATTTACCGACGACAAAACAGGTCGGTTGCCATGGCAAGATTGACCGAATTAGATTTGGATTCAGATAATGTGTTGATACCATGTCGAACAATTGTATACTTTTATTATTTTTTCCTTCTCGTTATTCATATGCTGATAGCTTTGTAGTTTGTACACTTTATGTATTGTTTTGTAAATATATGTAATAATACTCTCCGAAAAATAAAAGTAATGATGTCTGCTTAGATGAGTTGTGCTTTGAAGTCACATTGACAATACGAGCACTATCGGTTGCTCAAGAATATTTAAATTTACTTAGTGGGTAGCAATGAAAAATCGAATGTGCTGCATTTTCCTAAGAAGGAATTAACCATAGCGAAATATCCATTATTCTCATTTTTGCATGAGCTTAATACTTACGATGATATAATAAAATTGATCTTTTGCTCACAGTAGGCATGAGATATAATACACACCGCTGATGTGACGATGAAGTGACTTTAGTTTTTATTTTTTTTACTTTATCCCCGAGAACATTGTAGTCTCCCGCTCCTTATAGTGGAGAGGAGATCAATTCTTTTCGACATATTATACAAAAATATCTTACAATGTAATGCTTTATTAGTGTCTTGTATTTAATAAAATTTTGCATTCTAGTTTCTAGAGGATCAATAATAGCTACATGTTAAGAATAGAAAAATTTTGTGAAATTTAGTGACAACAAGATTATAATATTAGGAGGGGTGTTTG